TTGGGAATATGATCTTCTGGTTGTCATATCTCAGAAAGACAGTAGTTAAGATATTCATTTCTTCAACAATCATCTGAAATTCAATGAAATACATACTAGGCCCAAAATATACCAGAAGGGGATAAAACACAAATAAGGAGATATTCACATAAATATATACATATGTTCCAACATAAATTGGTACCTGAACTCCGTCAATTTCACACCGATCACCCACATCGTATGGGTGCATCACAAACAAGAATATGAGAGCTTCAAATATTGTCTTGCATGTGTTGCCAAATATAAATGCCACCACGACGATCTGAGAGCTTACAAAGAGTAGAAATTTGCTTGTTGCAATTTCTAGTATTACAAGGCAGATAACCACAATAGTGATGCCAACCAGTACATTCACCATATGATGAAGTTTGTTGACTGCTGTTTTTGTATCATTAAGTGTCAAGGCAAGCGCTCTTCGTTCTCTAAAAGCATTGACCTGCAAGAATCAGGTGTAACGCACTATCCAATTACTTGCTTGGTCACATTGTACCATAGATCTGTAATGCATATATGTTTCGTAGAGCCTTGCTTATCATTCAATTAATAAATTGCACCACAGGGAAAGTTGTGTGCATGTGCATGATTTCTTTGTACCCAAAAATTTCAACAACTGCCCCAATTCTTACCACCCAATTCTTCAAGGTTGATTTGCTGATTCTTTCGCTTTCAGATGATCCGTCCATGACACTCATGGTCTTCAAAGCCTCATCTTCTCGCAAGAAACGCATCAAATCTTGCATATAGATGAACCTGCCAGAAAATATATTTTAAGATTCTCAATAATCTGAAACTAGCTACAAGATCAAATGAAGATAATGTAAATTGGCCAGCAGGTGAACCAGTCAAAGAGATGATCAATAGCTTAACTGGATTGTAACATATTACCACCATGAGGCCTACATGGTTGGAGCAGGAAACAGAAACAAAAGAGAATCAGAGATTCTAGCAATGATGAACAGCATGTAGAGACCAACCATTCCATTTATGTGTAATAAAAATTCAAAAAATTGCACATATAACCAATTTGGATTTTATGCAATTAACTGCAAATCTAATTTACTGAATTAACTTATATTTGAACATTGTCCAATGAGTTTATTAGCTGATCAATCCTTTAACTTGAAAATCACTTATCATTGATTGAAGCATGCCCAAGTATGGTGGCTCGGTCTTGTGTGAAGGTCCAGAATACGATCGAAATGCAAAATCTAAATTCTTGCCCAGCTAGAATGAAATCAATGAATGCAGTCAGCTTCAACAGGGAGAGGAATACAAGAAAACAGTAAAGCGGTGGTACATAAAATCTTACTTGGACCTAGGCCTTGCCACATTTTGGAATATCTTCCTAGCCGCCACTTTTGCCTCAAATTCACTTCTAATCTGTGTTGTAGACTCATCTTCTTGTGTTGTATCTAGTATCTGCTCATCCAGGGTAGATATGACACCATGTCGAACTATTTTCACCAGCCTCTTCATATTCCAGGCAGAGATGTTCTTAGGATTCATCCTATGCAAGTGATCAATTGTAATCCCCTCATTCTGATTTTTGGAAATTGGGCCGGAAACTTTAAGGCTCACTCCTCCAACTGGTGCTCTCAGAGGTCCTCCACCCCCTATCACCCTCCCACTCTTAGTTGGTGGGAAAGCATATGCCCTGAGGTCAGGGGGCACGGTAGCCCCTGCATTTTGAAGCTTCCATACCTCAGCCATTGTCCTCTCTTCTTCTTTCTCATTGTTGTGTATTTCAATCAATGGTGGACCAGATAACGTTTCAATCACGTATTGATTGAACAATGAATCCTGGATTCGATCAAAAAAAGTGCTCACATGGAAGGAAGATGCAAGGACTTTAATTATGAGGGTCTTCACTAGCCATAACAATGTAGCCACCAGCATACAAACCATAAGTCTATTCACAAACCAAAGGAACTTATTACTACCCTCAACCTTCTTATCAAACATAGAATGCCAAGCAGTCAAAACCAAACCCAACCAAATGCAGTTCTGAACTGCTTTTTCTCACCCCATAAACAAAATACAGAACTCGTTTACGCAAAAGAAAGTTCCTCTCAATAAAGAAAACAACAATTCTAATCCCCCAACCGGACACCAATCTTCCACATATCAGGACAAGAACCAAAACATCCCATTTCCAGAGTTCAAGTCCCCGTAGCTTTTTTTCCTTCCACTTAGAAATTGAAAGAGTACAAATCAAAGCTGTTACAATCAAAACAAGACTAACCCATTGAGCCAGAGTCAATGCATTAAGTTTTGCCTTCTTAAACTCATCAGGAAGATCTTCATCGAATAACGAGTCATCCTCTTCATCGTCACCTAGCTTTCCCAACATCCCAGAAGCCCTACCTAACATCCCAGACCTCATTGGACCCGACTTCCCAACTCTCTGTGATCTCATCTCCGGCTGTGGTGGGTCTATCAACCTCGATTTCGTCTTCATCCTCATCATACTTGCTCTCTTCTGGAACGACGTACACCTCAACACCTCACCGCCACCGCCACCGCCATTGCCATTATTATCATTAACCGCGGGCACAATTGACGATCGCCTCCTGTTATGATGTTGTTGTACGTGTTCATCCTTATCGTCCTCGGATGAACCTTTGTCTTTATACCTCTTTTCAACAGGTTCAGACGCAATATCAACCACGTTTAGTTTGGGGTCTTGGAAAGAAACTCTTAAATCTTTTGAAATCGAAGCTTTACCATTAATATGGTTGCTATTTTCCGTTTCGGAAATAGGCGGAAAATTGTGGTGGTTGTTTTGATGACCATGACGTAGCTCGTCCATCTCCAAATCCATGTCCAACGACATCTCACCCCCAGACGCCATCTGTTTATTCAAAAACTGACCAATCAGCTTCGACGGCGGGTCGTCCACAACGTCACTACGTTTTTGCTGAAACTCAAATCCCTGTCCCCGTCCATTTCCATTGTTGCCACTTCTCTCATCATCTTTCCAGAAATCGTAGGTGGTTTCGTGCCAAATCTTATTATGATCAGCCTCCATGACGTTATTACTGCTAATGTAATCGTCACCGTCTATTTTCACGATAACTTCCCGGCGGTCGTCGTTGAGATCGTTAGAGTTTGTGCTTCTCATTATTATCTGATTATGATCGTCAGTTGTGCTGTCCCGGTGGTGATCGGAGAGAATTGGTTGTTGTTCGCGATGTGTATCGTCGACGACACCACCGGCTGAGATCCTTCTTGAGTGTTTGTATGAACCATGAGATTTAAGATTCTTAAAGGAAGAAGAGAAATCCATTAATCAAAAATCTAAGGTTTTATTTTCGAGTACGCATCTTAGAGAGAGAGAGAGAGAGAGAGAGAGAGGGCTGTGACGAAGGAAGATTTCGGTTATGGAAACATAACAATATCCTAACAGTATTTCCCCGGTTTCTATATGGAAGATGTGTATAAGAGCTTGGACGCATGCGGCGAGACCGCCATTAAAGTGGGCTTCAAAATTTGCAGAGAAAATGGAATGTTGAGAATGAAGAAGTGAACGGGTGGCGAAAATGACGAGTTTCCAGTAACAGAACAACATGGTATGTGATGAGACTATATGGTTTTAGTTTAGAGGGGCACCCAAATAAATAACAATAAATTTAGGGTATGTCTCCACCATTTTTGGGAATTGAATCCTTCCTTTATTCAGTGGTTCTAACTATGCGCATAGGGATGCATGTGGAACGTCATTTAAGAACAAAAATGAAATGAATAAAACAATTGAATAAGACTGTTTTTCAAATTTGTATACCTTTGATAGTGTTTTTCGTTGGACCTCAAAAACGTTACAATATAGTTGTTTCGGTAATATATATATGATATCAAAATAAATTTCAGTGAAATTCCTCTTTATTGGATCACTTATTCAAGTAAAACTTATTTTATGGACACTAGTTTCTTGCTAATGCACTGCTAATTAGTGAAATACAGAGAAAGAGAACAAGAATATTGGAAGCAATCTCTAATTCACTCATGCTATTAGAACCAATATCATAAAATAGACTACAATGTAAACTCCCTCCGATTATGATTTTATAAGTAAACTAGAGATAATTCGTGTTTAAAGTCACTGCACAATGTAAATGATTTTGAGAAAGAAATTAGTAAACGTGGAATGAAGTTATTTGAGACCATTGGATAGACTTATTAAAGTCTGACCTATTTTATATTTTAGATAATCAAGCAAACTATCCAACCCTATATATGGGTGTCGTGACATACCACTTATCCATTTGTTCAAAGCTTAGATGGTTTCTCATTCTCCCAAATGTAATTACTTTGTATAATTTTTCCCATGGGAAACCAATTAAAACATACTACAATTTTAATTTGTTTTCAGAACTTTCAATTGTTCCAATTTAGTTCTTAACTATCAATTTTGTCTTCAATAAGTCCTTTCATCTATATATTTTCACCATTAAATCAACGCTTAAATGGATTAGATTAAGCTAATCTCTAGTTGATCCAACTATGAAAATTGATGGAAGAATTTAACTAAGACAATTAAAAGTTCAAGAAAAAAACAGTTGCAACTTTTTTTAAGAAAAAAACTGAAAACGGTTGCAGCTTATGGGTGTTTCTAATACATGAAAATTTAAAAGATGAATTTGAAAAAAAAAATAAAAGAAGAAAACTTGCAAAACATATGGAAGATATGTTTGGAGCTACTTAGAATTGAAATCAATCAGGCACGCACAGTTCCCAGTTTACATCACAAAAAGCGAATGACTAGAATTCACAGAAGTTATAGAACATGTCTTCTCACCAACTGATGCTATCATGATACATTGCAGAAAGAAGGACACACTTTCGTAATGTAAATCTATAGCAGGGGAAAAAAATGTTGAAAATTGCTGTACAGTGCAGATGAAAAAGTAGAGAGCAAATGACCCCTAATTAGACGAATGTAAGTATGTTATAAATGTTGCATCTCCTGTCAATGATGTCCCCGTCTGAGAATGGAAAAAAATCCCCCCGATGATTTGTCCTTGTGTCGATCCTCTCCGTCATCTCCAACCTGTTCCACATATTCCAGGCGTCATCTTTATTACCAATGAAGAACGGGATGAAATTTGTCACAAGACAACGAGTTATTTAAAAAAAGACAAAAAAGGAGTTGAGGAAACAAAATAAATGGTCAAAACCAATAATATTGAGGAAGCAAATGGAGTGAGTTAAGCAAATTATTTCTGGAATTTTCTAAATACTTTCTGGAGCTATACTTCAAATGTTTTGAAATTCATTGCTTATAAACAATATAAGAACATCCAAACATGGTTAACATTAGACCAACACCTCCTTCGCTATTTGCTGCAGGATTTCTGTTATCTCAGAAAAGTCGGGTCTTAAAGTTGGGTCACACTGCCAGCATCTCTCAAGCAGCTCAGCAAGCTTAGGATGAGCCTGTTTCGGTATAGTAGGCCGTAGACCCTGAAATCAAATCAACGAGAGCGCCTCCATGTCATCTTTTCTCGGCAAAGTAGTAAACATTCAATACATGACAACTACTAACTAGTCTCGAGCATTGGTGGATATCTTGGTAAAAGGTTCTTAATTCCCCCCCCCCCCCCAAAAAAAAAAAAAAGAACAGGCTAAAAAATATTAGTAATAAACAAGATATTAAGCGAATATAGTGGAGTAGATGTTCACCTTTTGGACAACTCCAACAGCTGCTTGTAACGGGGTCAAGTACTCATATGGAAGCTGGCAAGCCAAAAAGGAAGGAATATAGTTATTAACGTACAGAAGACAATGTGGCTACAGTACCTGATCTGACTTTTGTTTCCATGACACAATACCTTTCCAGTTAGCAACTCCCATAATACGATACCAAAACTAAAGACATCAGCCTTGTGATCATAGGACTTGTGCTCTATAACCTTCAATGCAAAACGAATTAACATAAGCAAATGATGAGATGAGATGGTTGACCTCCAACTGAGAGAATAATAGTGAAATTCACATTGATAATAAATATAATTTATGCCATTCACCAATGCACGCAAGAAAAGAAAAAGCAAAGGAGAAACGCAAGAAATGTCAGAAATTTTAAGCGGCTATGACACCATGCTGTCATATTGCTTCACAAGTGATTCTTCTCCAATACTGTACTCCCTAACTAAAACAAAAACATCGTAGCCCTAAAATGACCTCTACAACAAAATCATAACAGTGATTGTGGCATAGTTAAAAAAATATTTAAAAATAAATTCAGATCACTAAATTGACTAGAGTTTAAAGTGCCACCCACTTCAAGGGAAACGGGAGGGGAGCCAGACTGACAACAGAAAGAACTGAATCAGTCTAATGCTGAAACTACTAACCTTGTACCACATGACCCTACAGATGCTGATTGAATGATTCACGAAAGCTAGAGGGAGGGGAGAGAGGGGAGGGAGGAAGGCACATTTTACGAGCAAGCCAAAGAGACCTGTGACAGTATAGAAGCAAGTTGCTGGAAGGCAAGAAACAGCAAAATTCTTAAGCGGCTATCAAACCATGTCTTCACCACTGCTTCACATTTGTTCAGCTTACACATTTTCAGAACTCTAGTGCACCAACAAGGCTAGTCTTTAGTAACCTCCAGAAAATCATAACAACGACCACTTTGAACTGTACCTAAATTCTCCACCACAACTAGCTGTTAGATTGATTAGTGTCTCCTACCACCCTCAAGGTGTGAAGGTATAGAGATCAGACTTGTTAGGACAGCAGTGTTCATGTGACACAAGTCACACAACTGTGTAGCTAAAGAAAGTAAATCATCAAAATGACTGGACTGGTGTGGCTCCACCCCACGTAAAAGGAACGGAAGTTGAGGTCTGATTGATCAAAGATAAAAATGAAACAGTACCACTGTTGAAACTGCAAATTGCTAACCCTTTACCTTTTGATCCCCACATTGATGCTGATACTTTTGTTCCTACCACAATGGACGAAGATCCGGGTAAAATATGCAAGATAAATAAGGCTTGATCCATATTTTAATCCCATTTAGATATCACAGACAGAGAGGGAGGTTTTCATTACTTATTTACTCTTTTCTTTCCAGTATTTTCCATCCCACAGCAATTAGGAATAGAGAATCTATATCAAAGAAAGGTCTAACAGTTGGACTAGTGGTATCCATTGCAATTTGATCCATTGTGGTTAGTAAGATTGTGTGATTTGGCAGCTGGCACAAGAGGGCCCTTGGTTGGGGGGGGAGGAAAGAGAGAGAGTGCACAATCAAGGAAAAGAGGCCACTCCTACTATTAAAGTCAGTACCACCTCCAAAATACATTAGTAAGCCTTGATAACTGCAACGCATATTACTAGTCTGTTATTCTTGATGAGATCCATTTTTACCCAAAAAAGCTCCTTTTGCGTTTATTTTTTATTTTTTTAGGGTCTTCAGCTAAAATGCAAATTTTACTCAAACTAAGTAAACAGTGCCAAAGATCCAATGAAGAAGCCCACAAGCTCAAATCACAAGAAATGGAACCAGGGAAAAGAAAATGATTATAATAAGCAAAGCTCCAATGAAGAAGCCCACAATCTCAAATCACATGAAAAGGAGTGTAGGAAAAGCAAACTACTATAAAAATCAACGTTGGTGGTTTAATCATGCAGGTGTGGCAACTACAAAACAAGTATCACATGCAAAGTTTTAAATCTGTACCAAGGACACTTAAAACAGATATCAGTTCACAAAAAATTGAATAGTAAAAGCTCTAACACTCAATGTACAAAAGGTGCACCTCAGGAGCCATCCACCGATATGTCCCAGTTTCTGCCGTCATAACTCCAGTTTGAGCTTTCACTCTGGCAACTCCAAAATCAGCCACCTTAACCACCTGAAGTCCAAAGCATAAGGTAAAAGGCAAGATAAGATAGATGAATTTGCAGAGGGATACCAGGCCCAAGGGGAACTCTTACTATCAAGAAGAAATGAAGGTGATACATCTATTTGTCCTACGACAGACATTAACAATTAACAATGACAGGACTTTTTTTTTTTTCTTATGGAGGGGGTGTCAAAGATATATGTATTTACTTTCGTAGTAAACATTCAAAACTTTTCACACTGTTCCACAGTTACATAGATAAGTTCTGTAATGTAGAAACAGACAAATGAGATCCAAGATGCCGGAAATTCAGAGTCCAAATCACAAGTATGGAACAAATAACAATAAGAGAGCATCTTACTTCATTCTCATCCATCAGAAGATTTGCTGCCTTCAAGTCCCTGTGAATTATATTATGCTGATGCAAGTAGTTCATTCCTTTTGAGATATCGATTGCTACTTTTAGCAAAGATGGAAGCTTAAAAGTACCCTTTAGTTTGTGTAGATAGTCATACACACTTCCACCAGACATATATTCTGGAACGAAGAAAAAAGTAAGGTAGAAAAGATAGCATGAAAGTTTTAACTGAAATTAACCATAACAAAGTCAATTCCTTAAGCAACAACTCGTGCATGTGTGCATCACACAGGTCATCTGTAAGAAACTTGGAATATACCTGTTACAATGCACAAGCTAGGAGGTTTTGTGCATGCACCTATAAATTGTACAACATTCTTGTGTCGAACTTTCCTGCAAGTGCCAAAAAGGAGTCACTGAAGCAGAGATGTGCTTTCTTATGAGCAAAAGCTCAATCAATTGAACAATAGGGCCAGCATTCATGCCTAAAATAACTATCACAGCGAAAACTGGAGAAATCGGAACAATAAAATAACTCTATCACAGGGAAACCAGAGAAACAGAAACTATAAAATAACTTTATCACAGGGAAAACCAGAGAAACTGGAACTACACATTAATTCTTTTCTAGAAAGAGAGAGAATTAAAAGTCCTGCCTGCCAAGTACAGGTGACAAGATCTCCGTACGTCTTCCTGATCAGGTGGTAGAACTGGACCCACTGTATGCATGTATCTGTGCACACTGATGTCAATGCATGCGCGTGCATGGAACAACCAACCGCCCCACCCCCCCACCCCCCCGCGCCGAAAAATAAAAAAAGAAGATACAGAGAGATAGGAAGGTGAGAAAGAAAACAGATGGAATAGCAGTTTGGAATGGAAATTACAAAGTGGTTCTCTCTCTATCCCTCGGAATTCATGCAAAGCCAATTCACTGCCAATAGTTGGCACATTTAGTTACTTAAAATATTGAATTGGGTAGAAAACAATGTCCTTCCATATCGCTGCCCTCTATTTGAGAACCCACAATACTATCAAAATATTGGCCTGGTACTATTATATTGGTCTCGGAATATACTTTTACTTCTACACACATACCATATAAATTTATAATAAAAAAATAAATGCTTGGACATAAACATATAACGCAAATATGAACATCATATTCCGTTACTTCCGTATTATAGCTTGCACATATAACCACCAAAACAACATTCTGACCAACATATCATGGGCTGCCTCTTGAATACCCCACATCATAATATTATCCCCAACATAAAAACAGGATTAAGAAACCATTCTGGTTATCAGCATTACCTAGAACAATTGATATATTTTAAGTGAATCTCAAGGTTAATTTAATAGAAAAACAGGAAATCAAAGATAGATCCTAAGAAGGCCAACTAGTGCAGCTCACAGCAACAGAGAAAATTTTCACTAACCTCATAATATATACTTCTTGTGCAAACTCTCTTTGCACGCTTGAACTTACACACTCAGCCTTGAGGACTTTGATGGCTACTTCTTGAGTACGGTATGTACCCCTGTACCTAAAACAATCGAAAGATACAGTTAGTTGAACTCAAAACACCCCAATTACTGGCGTGAGTGGGATCTAATTCCATCACAAAGGCAGGCTTCAATTCTTGGTTGGGACATGGATGCATATTTACTAACTTAAGGAGGAAAAAATAATGAGGACTTCGAGATCAAATAGAATATTTTTCATTCCATTCGTCGTGAGCCACTTATTTCTCTGAAACAAGAGATCAAATGATCTTCCTCCTTTCTCTCAAAAAGTCAACGGCGTTACACCAGTGGGATACTGCGAATAAACTGGAGTAAAAGAAAATGTGCCTGGAAACTGATAAACTTACAAGTCCCCATATGACCCAGATGCAATTTTGCTCTCAAATTTCAGAAATCGAGGATCAATTTCCCAGACATCAGTGCCATCACCAGGAATTGTCAAATGATCAGGTTCGCTTTTTATCAGTGACTGATCATGCTCACCTAGAGAAGAAAATGATAGTTGATTTGGCCAAGATTGCTTCTGCATAGCAACACAAGGCATCCTAGTTCAAATCAATGCATCACTTTTCTGTAAGGTAAATTGGCATAAAAAGAAAAACACATTCAACAGACAGCATGATGACCCACACCCCCTGGGTGGGTGGTGGCAAAGAAAAAGACAGATAACCTAAGTGAAGGAAACATGACATAATGAATTACATCAGTATGACCTGACCCATACTGGGAACTACAACATACATCTAGACTCTAGAGCACATTAACATTGTCTCTAACTGTCTGCAGATTCTACATGGTTTTAAGTATCGTCTTCACTTCGGGCTCGAGGAATACACTTTAAACTTCAAAAGTTGATTATGTCATCACATACACTTTAAACTTCAGAAGTTGCTTATGTCATCACACAGAAAGAAAGTTCATAAGACCGAAATTCCAAAAAATTGCATGCATATGGGTTAAACAAAGAATTGAAAAGCTCTGGTTAAAATGATCAAGCAGAATAAAACAAATGTCAGTTGATCGCCTAAATATATATTCCGGTTTTACTGTATTCTGAACCAAGTATAGAATAACCCAATCAGTATGATAGTGCAAAAAGCATAATTAGATGCCATAATGATTCAGTTGTAAATACATTCTCAGAGACCCGGGCACAATGATTTAGTTGCAAAACACTTTAAGAGACTAAAACACCAATGAAGCCATTTTATAACTTGATCTCACAAAATGATTTTTCCAACCTGTATGCAGCGTTCAAATAGGTGATATGAGGCAAAAGTTTATTTGCATCTGGGTAAGACAAGATTAAGAATTTCCACCAAAATTCCTAAAAAGCTGTATTAACTCCATCACAGGGATATAAAAAACCATAACAAATACCAAAAATCAATGGATTATCCAAACTACAGTTCTAGACTGCAAAATATCATCTCAGCCAACTGAGTGATAATATAAAGTGTATTGAATGACTGGGCTCTTAATTAACAATAGGAGTTTTTTGGGTTCTAGGAAAGTAATATTACCAAGGATAACAAAAAAAAAAAAAAATCTACACTGATTAAAAAAAACCAAAAAACTCTGAAGTACTAGCAAGGGTCAATTTCAAAATGGAAACTGAGATGATTTTCTACTTCAGAATAACATAACACGTGTTAAGAATCTCACATGCAGAATTCTGATGTCCTAACAAGTTAATGAAACGTTGAGGTACCTCGATCTTCAAGACATCCTTTGCCAATGCAAATCGAAGTCGTTCAGTTTCCTGAAAGTTAATGGCAAGTAAATCAAAAATCTAGGTTGTCAGATATACCATGAGAAGTGAAAAAACACATACAAAAAACTTAACCATTACTCAAATATAGCTTCTATTTCTGTTCTTGCAATTTAAAAAAAAAATCCATAAAAAAGAGCTCAAAATCTTTTATGGTTTCCAGAATGACATTGAATAACAAAATGACATTAGAAAGTCAAATACATGACTCCTTTCCATAATCTTGAAAGAACATGAGGTGTACGTAATTTGACGGATGAAATCCACAAGTAGACGACTAATATAGCAACAACTAACAGATTGAATTGCAAAAAAAAAGGATCGGAGCTGCTTTGGGTAGATATTATTGATGCATACACCACTAAAAAGAAAGCAGACATAAAACAAAGTATGCACCACCATAAGCAAATAACATTCTAGTTACATAAAAATGAAAATTTGTGAGAAGGGAATACCTCATATGGCCAGCCATCAACAACAAAAACATCTAAGGAATAGCCATCTACTGTTGAAAAAGCATGTGCTTCCTGGATGTTCAGCCCAACCTCAGCCAGTAAGGAAGTCAACTGCAAATTTTGCACAATAAGAAGTTCACTAAATCCACATTCCGCAATTTTGGTAGTATAGCTGCTATAGTAACCACTACCAATGTAGGCATGTGGAAACATACACAACCCTACATCCGCACCAGCTCTCCCCCAGGGGAAGAGGGGTTGTTGAAGAGCAGAAAAATATCTCACAGAACAGAGAGGGAAAGAGGGGAAGGGCAGGCTTATTTAGTTTTACATCTACATTTCCAAATGGTCAGAAAAGTTTTCCACTCAACCTAATAGCATGGTGTAAATATATCATTCTTCTACGTGAAAGAGATCCTTGTTAAATTTGACACTTTCACCACGTAGCCAAGAAGTACTTGTCCTTAGTTACATTATTTTCTTGACATAGCCTTTGGCTCTCCCTTTTGCTCCCCATCAAAGAGAAAGAGAGAGAACCAAGTATACACATATTTAATGCTCGAGGTTGACACTTTTTCCGCTTTGCTCACAAATGGGACACAATTGGCAAAAAGGAAAATTTTGGCCACCGGCTTGAGACATGCACACATCAGAATGTTTGAGGGTTCAACACATTCCACACACCAAAGAGCACGTTTTGCAAATCTCAAATGGATTATTTTGTACGCCAGATAGAATTAAAGTTTCACGAAGTAAACAAAACTTTTCAAGAACCCAACTTCTTATTTCTTGAGATCTCCAATAGCATCTTTCTTGTGAACTGGTTAAACCAAAAATGTCACTAACCCCAACACAAATTCTTAGAATTTTCTAAGACAATGTAAGGCAAAAAATGTGCTTATTAAAAGTAGAATACATATTGTACGTTTCTCGAGTCATGCCTTGCTCAGCAAGAATAGTGGAAATGTGGAGCTAACATCTAAATATCTACTTCAGAGAATGTAAAAGGGCTTTCTTATGAATGAAAAGCAGAAGGCCATAAAAAAACAGAAGGCATCTTTCTACTTCTAGACCAATATATTTAATCAATTAAAACTTGCGAGCACACAATGATCCAGTTTCCTCTTCCCTAAGTAACCATCATTGAGAAAAGCAGGCAAGATAGAGACCATATGCCTTCTTGATTGCAAATAACACATTGAGTCTCAGATGTTCGCATTCTGTTAGGTATTACATATGCTAATTGGAGAAAGGACGTATCACGATTACGTATTTTAACCATTCATCCAAGCAATACACAATTAATAATAACATGAAGATATGAGTCGTATAATAGAATAAGCAAGTATATTAATGACCTGACTGAGGAGCTTTGGCTTGTCATCTGTTGAAAAGGTGATTTCATGCATGATCCTACATAATAATCAATTACATAAAACAGCAAGCTATTAATTACAAGCCGGTGAAAGTACTTTCTCCATATAACGTAATCCATATATATTCATAAAGGTGAGTGTAAAGCTTTGCTAAAAACAGTAATAACCAACAGCTTATAAAGTTATATGAACTCAAAACTGAACACCACTAGCTATATCTGTTATGCTTTGAGTTTCTTTCCTTTATCTCACTGATTTTTTTTCCATTTTTTTTTTGTATGGATAACTGTTTTGTGGCTTCCTTTACAAGAAAATCTCACTTGGGTGGGTGGGGGGAAGGGGGGGGGGAGAGGAGTAAAGAGTCTGCATTTGGTGATTTTGAATTGTTTAGTTTTTTCATTATCATCCAACTTTTCCCTTAGCCTCCCATAAAATTAGGAGCCATAGTCTCCTCTCTGGCTTCCACCTACTTGTACATTTTACAACTATTACTGAAGAACGAAAACTCTATTACTTTTCAAAACAAAAAATGAATCAACAACATGGTCATTAAGATCTAATCCATCACTTTTTGCACAAGATATAAAATCGGTTAGGCATCTAACAATTGAGGTCAAGGGCATCAGACAAGTTGGAAGCATAATAATTACTATCAAAAGAAAAGAAAAGATGGGAGGAAGATAATAGGAAACAACTGCTGTCTTCTTTTCCAATGACTCAAGAAATTTGAGACTTGAGAGTCTCACTTGCGGAAATTAACACAGCAGGCAAAAGCAAGCAAAGGGAAATGCAATCAAAAGAACATCATTTGATAACTGTGGAGAAATTGAAGTTCACGTGTCCTTTGAGATCTCTGGAAGCACCAATACAGGCTTTTTGCTGATAAGGAAATTTGTGGAGTAAGACAAGATCAAAACTAAGAAAATATCAATAATATACCGGGAGAACTTTAGACGACCATGTACGACACTGTCCCCATCTTCAACTTGAGCTTTGTTTGCTTCAAGTGCAAGGGCTTCAAGATTAGGAGATGAACCAAAGGCTGGTGGCGGATGAATGCTGACATATTGAAAGCAAGGCGTACAGGTTTCAGTAATCATATAAAATTATGAGAAATCATAGTAAGGGTGGACTGAACAACAAAATAAAAGCAGGATAATTAAATAAATTACATTCAAAGGAAACTTGGGCATGACAACTGAACTACATTCAGTAAAGAAATTCAGTAGAAAAAATTTCTTTAAAAGAATCTCTCGAAATCAATACCTTTGAGCAACTTCCTTTCTTGGCGAGTTAGAAGGAGACACACCTGTGTTTCCATCACAGATAGGAAGAACCTAAGAAAGAAAGTGATTCCAAAATTATTAGTCCAACCAGGAAAGTGTAGACATGTTCTAACAGCACCCCAAACCCACCACCCCCACCTCCACCCCCCAACCGAGAAAATAAAAAAATAATAACAAAGTAGTTAGCAGAAAAAGAAAAAATTCCTGCAAATATAGTGAACGAAATTACCTAACAAGGAAAATTAAGAAAACCACTACATCCCCAAGGGAAAACAAATGAACAAACTGCATGGGAGAAAGTGATTGGCAATTCAATAAACCAATAAAAATTCTGATTCAGAACTCCAAAAGTGTAGATAAGGTGGTGCACAAAAGTGGTGCATATATCATTATTGTAACTTTTTTTTTATCAGACATTATTGTAACTCAAATAATATGTTTTGGATATGTTAATCCTGTGTCGAAGTGGACATGAGGAACGTCAAGTTATGCAATAAATGCAGAATCCATTCCTTGGTAATGCTGAGGTGGAAGTCTTATCAAATCAACATACCTGAACTAGGTGGACTTCAAAGGCAGGTCTATTCGCAGGATCCTGAGCCAAATGCAACAACCTCTTATGGGTGAGAACATCTTCCGCCCTTTCCACATTCACATCCAATGCATACCTTCAATGGACAAAATTAAATGCCCCAACACAATCAGCGAACTCAAAAAATTGTCCGATTATCAGTCTGATCTATTAAATAGCAGTACCAAACCTGTGTTGTGTGTGTGTGTGTGTGTTTGTGTGTGCATGTAATATCATCCATTGTGCTGCCATTATTTGAAAAGGAAGTACAAACAACAAAGAATGATTTTAATCCATTATACTCAGCTTAAATACAGACACTATAAGAATGTTCTACCATTTAATTACATTTATTTTCAACGAAAAAAAATTGAAAGAAAAAAAAAACAGAAAAAACTTTTAATAGACAAACTGCAAAACCTAATCAATGAATAAATATTGACCAAAAAAAATCAATGACGAAAAGATTCAAGAAAGATCTTGATCAAATAAATACAAAGCATTTACCAGTACAACTTATGAAAGCAATCAAGATCACAGCAGACATGTACATACATGTATATATCTATAAACATAAATAGTTACGTATACTCGCATCTACCTGTTCTATGTAGAATACGGAAGGGTAGAGAAAGAGAAAGGTAGGGTAAAGTAAAGTTACCGAGTGGGAAGACGATTGAAGTGAGCCCAAAGTTCATGGTCGAAGCCAGGCTCATTAGCCTCCAGGTTATTCGAATCTTTAAGCCTACGAAGAACCTCATTGTAAACCTCAAGTTTCTTTCTCTGTTGCCGAGTGTTCACGGGCATCGATTCCACCGCCCTACTACTAATCTCGGCGTCTTCCATCACCATTTGATCAATAACAAGAAAAAGATCAAAAGAGAAGATATCAAAAAAGAAGATCACGTGAAAACGTCGATTTCCGAAACTTTAAGGCTATTTCACGGTTCTACGTGAAGTCGATTTCGAGAGAGAGAGAGAGAGAGAGAGAGAGAGAGAGAGAGAGAGGGAGGGAGGAGGTCCATATGGAGATAACAGGTTTGAGGAAGCTATATATACATGTGTAGCCGTTGGTATTATAAAGATGGGAAGTGCTTCGGTACCTATAAAGATAAACAAAAGTGGTGCTGTTTGCAGGAGGTCTGCACTGGTTCCTCCTTCGTGTCCGTCCGCCTCTTTATTTTGCTCTAGATGTATTATCTACTACATTAATGTTGGGGGTTATGGCTTAGCGGGAGGTTAGACGGCGTAGTAGATGCAAATTCGATTCGCATTAAGATTTTTATGGTGCATTTGGTAGAAGTGGATAAAAAGATTAAGAGATGAAAAGTGATTAATAGAATACGGTAAATTACAATGAGAAAAAATAATGTTTTAGTATTGCAAAGAATTAATTGTCAACACATAAACTAAGGTTGACCAAAAATTAATTTTTCACCTTCTTATTATTATTATTATTATTATTTTCGTTATCAATTGAACCCCTAGTAAAATTTATATTTTATGACATAATAATGGCAATTAAAAATTTGTTTTCTTGTAAGGGGGAGTGGAGGTGTACGAGGTGATGAGCAGAACTTTTTTAGAGATGCTAGTGTTGGTATGATCCATTCTCATGGTGATGCAAGTTAGTTTAAGAGATAAGATAGCTTTATTAGTAAATACACTAATCTCACGAGCTAAACATGAAAAGCGTGGGTTTACATGGTAACAGCTTGATTAGTTTAACATGGCAATATGATAGGAACATGGTGGCACTGGTGAGTCGTATGTTGTCATCCCCTGCTGGCCTGGCCTGGCCCTGCCCTTGGTCAATTCAAGTTTCGAAAGTGGGCCCCCCATGTTGTGACTGCAAATCAATACTGGGAAGTCCTCATTCATGGGGATTTGGATAAATTAATTTCTTTTTCATATTAAAAAAATAATAAGGATAACAAGTGTTAAGTTTTTTATCATTCTCACGTCGGATTATTTTTCCGCATAACCTACCTTAGGCTATCATCACTGCACTATAATTTATTTAACCATAAAGTTTGGGATGGATTGGTGAGATTTCAAATTATCTGACATTTAGATTAGGAGATGTATTTATATTTAGAGAATAAATTGTCAATTGTAATTTTATATCGATAATTAGAGCTTTAAAATACTTAACTAATAATGTAAATTGTCAATGGTTCCCCAATAATCATTTGTGGGGAAAATAAGGGGAATTTCATTTTACATCTAGAAAGATGTAGAGTGTTTGATTTGCGTTTCAAAAAATAGTATCTGAAAACAGTTTTTAAAAATAGTATTAAGAAAGTGTTTTCAAAAATTTTTAAATTATAAAATTTGTTTGGTTATATATTTTTAAAAATAGTTTTAAAGAACAAAAATTATAAAATCTATTTGAACAATATTCACAATTCCCACCTCTCTTTCATTCCTCTCTCTCTGTCTCCACAAAACACACTCACACACACACACATACATGCACACACAAAACACACACACACACACACAGACACACAGATTGTAGTTGTTGCGACAGATAGAGGTAGACGTTGGGCAGTGACGCACAATGAAGACGTTGAAGAAGAAGAGCTGGGCAAAGTGGAGAGAGGGAGAGAAAAAAAAAGAAGAAGAAGAAGACGTTGTTTGCTGTTAAGGAGACTCGAAGTGCAGACCTTATTTATCTTGTTTTAGCATGTCTTTGTGTTTTCAAAATTTTCAAAGAAAAATGTGAAAACAAATTTAACTTGTTTTCTGTTTTTATGCTCAAAATCTCTTCTTTTTTTTGAAATTTTTGAGAACAAAAATGCTAAACAAATAAGTTTTTGGTATTTTTGAAATTTTGAAAATAAAAAACTGTTTTACAAATGATAACCAAACACGCCCTTAGATTTTTTTTTTTTTTTTTGTACCCATAAAAATAAGATTTCTCATATTATACTCTTAATATATAAAAAATATTATACTTTCATTAGTTTCTCTTGTTTATTTTGTCAAAATCTATCCTATTAACGTTGATTAAATGAGTAATGAAAATTAATAAAAGAGCAAAATTATAATATTTTTAATAGGTTAAGGGAATAATATAAATAATCTAATCTTTGAAGTATAAAATAAAAATATTTAAATCTTTCAGAAGGTGAAATGTAATTCGCTCTTAAAAATATATGGGGTTGTTTTCGAATTAACGACAAACTTAGAGATTTGCCAATATGTGACGGTGGGGGGGGGGGGGGAAGCCACTAATCTACACGTGGCCAGGAACAGGAAGCATCTTAATTTATTGCATAACTAAACTAACACAGAGGACTTTGGATTCGCATGAAAAAAACGAATAAACCGTTGCTGGTTTAAGATTTTCGCGACAGTTCATCACATGCAGTAAAATAAACTAAAATGTCAAAAAAATTGCAATTATATATAATAATGCAAGTTTTAATTTAATAAGAACCGACTCGAATCAATATGGAATAAACTTTTTTGTTCAAAGTTATCTGAATTAAGTCTCAATGTGTTGATGTGTACATTGTTACAAACTTCGATGACAAATGAATCGAGACTATAATTATTTTTTATTGATCGAATCGAGACAAGAATTAATAGAAATTTAAAAGCACGAAGTTGGTTTGTGAATTTAATTATGTTCAGCAACTTAAGCATGCATCAAATTATAGTACACCACTTTGAGTTAGAGCTTTTTTTTTTTCCCTAAACAATTTGTTAAAATTGTGATTAATAGAAATTAATTAGAAGCACAAAGTTGATATGTGAAATTTATTCTGTTTAACGACATAAGTATATAGTACATTCGCATCAAAATATAGTAGCACTATTTTGAGCTTGGGAGAAGACTTTGATGAGATTGAGAACATGACTTGCTCTAATAGATGTTTTAAATCAGACAATTTGAAAACAGATATAAAAAAAAAATAGAGAAACTAAAAAAGAAAAAAAATTATGTTTTTTCAAGGAAATTTAGAGATAGGAAATAGAATATCACCGAACAGCTTAACAAAGTCCCCACCTAAATTTCGATAGTATTTTTCCTAAACAATTTGTCCATCCTCATAGGCTTAGTATTCATCCCTAAAGCCTATTCATCCCTAAAAACAGAAAACAGAAGGAAAAGAAGAAACTCTTTTGTACAAATCCATTCGAAGGGTATATTCGACTTTATAATGTGTATTTTGGTGGTTGGGTGGGAAAAGGGTGGTACGGTATGTGGATCATGCTAATCTGAAATGGTGGCGTGTCATGGATGACAGGTGGAGGAATGGAAAATATCGACGTGGCAAAAGTGGCCTTTGGAAACTTTAAAGGGTGGGCCAATAGATAATATAAACGAACTATAAATTCAAATATTCTAAGTTTAAATTTTGATAATTTTTTAAAATTAGACAATATTAAGAGATTTATGTTTCAATGAATATCTTAATCTTGATATGAATGACCTGATTTTAATTAAATTAAAAAAAATTAATTAAAAAATACGTAAATTAACACGAATTTCCTTCACCATTGAAAAAAAAAAAAAGTGGCCTTTGAGAGTCACCAGGGGTCAGTAAACACAGAAGATTAGGTGTATTTTTATATTGTTTATCGGGAGAGATGAAGGTTGGGTTGGATTTGGATTAGACCCAACATTAACAACAACATTTGCCAGCGCAAGCGGCGATTGGTTGCCGAGGGAATAGCCGTCAGAATATGCGACTTCGGAGGTCAAAAGTAAACCCCCCATGCCCATGCCTTTGGTAGGAAATAATAAACATATATTACACACAATATTATATATGTCCGATACCTTATCTAAACCCCACGATTTCAATTAATTAGGTAGTGAGATAAAGAGGACCCAAGTGGATAGATGCTTTTGTTTAGTGTCTGGCTGGTGAGAAATCAATTATATATATATATATATACATTAATTTGATTCTAATATAAATTTGATTAATCAAAATTCATGTTTTCAGATGAGTGTTTAATTCATAAACAATTTTGATATATATATAATTTATAAAAGTCAAATTAATTAAATATTCAAAACTAATTCAACTAAATTTTTTAAAAATATTTTTATATAGTGTCGTTGTGTACAATGTACGAAATATTCAATGTCTCTCGTTATAAATCCTACAACTCTTATTGCCATTGTCACTGTCATCGTCACTTCCACCCCCTACTGCAACCCTCTCCCTAAGTCTAGTATTATTGAAAAATTACATATTACTGTACTAAATTAAAGAGGATAAAAATTTAAAATTTAAATAAATATTGTGAAAGTAATTACATAAACCAAATGGAATGATCTAATTCATCAATACGGTGATGTTAAATAATTTAACATCATAAAAAATTATTACTTGATGAAAAAAGATAGACGAGGGTAGTGGGGAGTTGGAATGAGGAGTTTAGTAATAATGGTAACAGGAATTAGAGACCGACATGTGTAAATTAAAATATATTTAAAAAATAAAAAATTCTAAAAATTAGTATCTAAGATTTAGAGCTAATACCACAAATTACATTGAAATATGATATAAAGAATATTAACGTTTAAACCAAAATTAATAATATCTAATGGATCGAAACTGGTGTAGCACATTATCTAGGGGTGCAACTCGGGCGGGTTGTCTTAATTCTCTCATCTCTTAAACCTATTCATCCCAAATCCAAAATAGAAATGACCCCCCCAGGCAGAATTATTCTCGATTGTGAGACACATTCAAATTCAATATAAGTTCCCAAAATATAAATAAAGACAACAAAAAAATTAAAGGGGGGTCAAACTTCTTGTTCTTGAATTGAATGATTCTCTTCGGATAATTCATCCAACCCAAGGATAGCTATAATGTCTTGAAATTCTTTGTAATTGCAAAGTTTGCTAGCTTGAGAGGTTAACCCTAACCCAACTCTAAGTATATATTTTTCAACCCTAATCTTAAACCTAACTCTACCACAACTCGTAGTACTCAACCTAAGTTTAATTCGGGACAGGCTCAAGTTGATTTAAGGTTATTTAATTTGGGCTAATTTCAGGTTAAGAATCGAATTGGCCTTGGATTACTTAATTCGGATTAATTTTTGAAGTGTAAATTTGATTTTTTTAAGTGTAGATCTGATTTTTTTCAAGTAATCTAAGATGAAAGATGAGACACAAATGAAAAGAGAGGAAGTGAGAGAAGGAGGAGTGACAAGTGAAAGAAAGATGACGAAATGACTTAGACAAGTGACAAGTAAGAGAAAGAGGTTGAGAGTCTGAGACGACTTAGAAAAGTGAAGATTGAGAGAGGGAGGAGTGACGAGTGAGAGGGATTTGAGAGCGATGGAGACGTAGGGGTAAAAACTTGAAGTAAAGTGAAAATTTGGATTCTAAAGAGTAAAAATAAATATTAATCCTAATTAAATATATTTATATATTTATGTATATTTAGATGCAACCCGATTTTAATATTCAGGTTGAACTTGACAAATCAACGCCTCAACTCGAGACTTGTCTAAATTCAATTCGATTTATAATTTTTTTGTCCAAATTTAACTCAAATATTAAAAATTTTAATCTAAACTCTATTTTTGTTGGAGTTTGATTAAATTCGAGTTACTCCGCCAAAATTACAGCTCAAGCATTACTTAACTTTCCATGTTAAACTTGAGTGGGGTCCAATTCAAGTGAAGTTGTCACTGTCATCTCCACATCAACACGACCTAATTCCCTTTTTGAGTTTGAGAGCACGGGGTACAGATGGGGATACTTATTACTTATTACTTTTGGATTTGTTTTTTCTACCACTGGAAGATAATTAGAAAACCTTTATTTTATTTAAATTCATAATCGATAAGAAGATTATCAAAAAATATATACTGAAATAGATATAAACTGTTCTTATTTTGATCTTTTTTCATATTAGAGAGTAACATTATCATTATTGAGTAGACATGCAATTTAATTTGGTCGATCCAAAAAAAACAAATCAATTGGACCAAAAGTAGTTTGGTTCTAACATAATTCAGTTCAATTTTTTTTATCATTAGTGTACGTGAAATTAATATAAGTATTCTCCATTTTTTTTTCCCTCCAAGAATCACCACCGTGACGTGAGTCTATAGGATATGCAAACAAAAACCCGCTTGATGCATGAAAAATAAATACAATTCTAGGCATGCAATTCTAAGTTGAAAAATACAATGGTTAGAAAAAAATTCAGACATTAAATTTAAAAAAAAGAGAAAACATTTACCACCATTTATCATAAAGAATAAAATTCAATCGCATTTAAACATTGTTTAGTAAAAGAGATTGGTTCATTGAATCTGGACATATTTCAAGTTTATTGAACACTGAGAGTCACACTCCTTCTCCCTAGTTAGTTATTATTATCATACAAATTAAGACGGATAATTAAGCCGAATTATTGGTTCATTGAATCGGGACAAAATTCAAGTTTATTGAATGCTAAGAGTCACACTCCCTCTCCCTAGTTAGTTATTATTATCATAAAAATTAAGGCAGATAATTAAGCCGAGTTATTGGTTCATTGAATCTGGACAGATTTTAAGTTCATTGAATGCTGAGAGTCACCCTCTTTCCCTAGTTAGTTATTATTATCATAAAAATTAGGGCGGATAATTGAGTTAAACAATTCAAGTTTGGCCTAGGCTCGACTTAGATAGAATTAAATTCGAACTAGTCTCGTATTTTAAATGAACCAAGTTTAAACAATTTTTTAAACTTATTTAAAAAACGAGCCTAAAAAATTCGGCTCGAATTCGCAAAACTCGGTTCAAGCTCGCAAAACTCAGATCAAGCTAACAAAATTCAGCTCGTTTATATGTAAAATAGTTGAGTTACTCAAACTCAATTCATTTTGGGCTCGACTCATTTTATAAACAAGTCAAACTTAAATAATTTTTTATGCTCGTTTAAAATAATAAAATCTGTCTCGATAGACTCGCCTCGATTCCGATTGTCAATAAAAATGTTGCATGGGTGTGAAATATCCAAGTATCGTGTTGGAAAGGCATTCCTACTACTATCTATCACGTCTTACAATTACAAGGTAAAAGCAATCGACATGATTCAACAGCCACACGATTCAACTGTGAACACTGAACAATCATATTAAACCTTAGAGCAACTCCCAAATGGAGATGTCATTTTGGGGTGTCAATTTATTCATTTAGAACAGTGTTTTGACACTCAAAAATTATAAATCTGTTTCAATGGCAAGTGCAAAATAAGGTGCCATTTTTATATTTTTATTTATCAATTTATATGAATTATTAGATCTATATTCATCAACCATTTACAACCCAAGAGCCTTGATCCTATATTCCAACAACCCCCCCCCCCCTCCGCGTTCTTTGAGCCAAAAATTTTGAATTTGGAGTGGCACCTCCATATGCCACCAAAAGTAAGTAACTTTCTAGTAAGGCAGTGTGACAAATGTTTCGGCAGGACTTGATAGAAACCATCGAAAAATGTCATATACAAAATATGGGGTTTATATACAAGGTTTTTTCATGGAAACTTTGCATCACAGCTTACATAGATACTTTATAGTTGTCATCTTGTTTAGGAAAAATAATTACAGAGGAACTTGATACAACTAGACTGCACAGGTTACATAATATAGCCAGATACATACAATATTAAAATACAACTAATCTAAAACAGACTCACAGTGATCCACCACAAGCTTAACAAACAAACATCTTGCAAATTACTCCAGTTCTGCATTATTTTCAGCTTCTTCCATCTCTTCATCATCAATCCCGTTTTCTCCATCAAGAAGCCATTGTTCTAGTTCATCAACTTCTTCATAGTCGTGCATGTACAGATCATCCGAATAATCCCACTGATCAGTCCCCAGCTCCTCACCACGATACGCGACATGCAAGAATGGTCTACTTCTGGCTAAAACATCTACCATATCCCTATTTACGCTTCCACTCACTCCCAACCATCTCAACACAGGGAAATAAGGCTTCTTTAACCACCGGAATGCAAGTTGTGTAATTCCGCCACAGTTATAAATATCCAACAGCCGTAAGCTACTTCCATGCCACCTGCCCTCATCAACTTGCATCGAGGCTAATGCAATGACCGTAATGTCGCCTATGAGTGGGCATTGTCGCATTCGAAGCTCAACTATTGGGACACGACTTTTTGCAAGCAACAACAAACCAGCATCAGATAGGTTAGGAAGATTTGATAGGTCCAATTCTCGCAACTCTAGGTTACATGAGCAATCAAATAGAAAAGAGACGCATTTGTCCGTAAGTCTTTTGCACCCTCTAACGGATAGTGAAACAAGCGAACTCCTTACACCTCGTTTTAGGTATGACAATCCCAAATCACTTATATCAGCGCCGTCTATCAGCAATGTTTTCAGTTTAGGGAGACTGCTAATGGCTCGAAGGGCTTCATCACCAAGGCTTCTACAATCTCTCAAGTCAAGAACGCTTAGATCCATGTTAGATGCCAATCGGATGACAGAGAGGTTTGTCAAAAGATTACACCATCTGAAGCTAACATGTGTCAGTGAAAGGGAAGTGGCATCAATGTCATGAAATACCAGATCAGTTAGGTGAGCTCCATGAGACACCCTGAGCCTGTATAAGCTGGTGCAAGAATGCAAGATTGTTTTGAAACCTGTATCCGTGACCTGACAAAAGCCACCAAGACATATACTTTCTACGCTTGAGCATCTATCAGCCATAAAGAGGACCCCAAGATCATTAACTCGCTTAAAGTATGTAACGACAAACTCCTGGCTTCGGACCAAAGAAAGGTGTTTCAATTTCCCATGTGGATTAATTTGTTGAAGGCCAGAGTTGGTGAGGTCAAATGCAACTGTGGGTTCTATAATGGGTGCATCACGAAGATCCAAATGGGTCAAGGAGGTGAGTTTTTTTAGCTATCGTACTGACCATAGTGTCAGTAATATAGTCCACTGAAAGGCACAATTTCCGGATACTTGGCAATACTGATGACCGAATCTGATTTTGTGAATGGTAAGGCCCTGCAGTTGGGCTAAGCAGTTCAGTCACCATTACTGAAGAAACGTACCCTATCTCAAGAGAAGTGAGTTTTGCAGAAGCCACAGCCCAGACATGAGCAAAATTGTGTCGAAGAAAGATTGAGACATCAAACATGAGGATCAATGTCTACAAAACAATACAAGAAGTTGAGATAACCTGCATAAAATGAATTCCGAAGGGAACATGCTGAAAGTATAAACAATTATGATGACATCCAAAGAAATTGCCATGCGGTTCCTAATGCACTTTTTTGCATACATATTTATTACAAGCTATACAAATTATCAAGTATGTGGGCCTGGAGAGGTAACACAGTCAAAAGAAGAAAAATGAGGACGAATACCAGTTAAAGAGATTAATGTTTCCCACAACAGGTAAGACAAAGCAACCACTAGCTAGCGAGCAGTTAGCGGCAATCTTCAACCACAACAGGTTTACATCAAGGGTTGGCATTGAGCCACGATATCTATTATCTAGATAAAGATGATTTTAGAATAATAACTCCCTCAATCAGATGAGGCAGAAAACAAGAGTTATGTAGCTGATCCTAAGGAAGTTGCATTGATGGATATGGAAGATATTTACGTAAACTGAAATTTTCAATTAACAAAAAAATAACAATACTGGACCCTAAAAGCAATATTGTGCTGATTTTATTACTGTAAATGCCACTTTAAAATTGGCTAAATGAATACCTCTGATAGTAAACGTAAGTGCAAAACATTTACACCCTAAAAAACAACCATATTAAAAGTTTAATTATTTCTTATTATTGTAACTATGGTAGGCACATTTCATCAATGAGTGACTACTTTGTTTGGTCTTGTGAGAAAGGGTATCAGTTTAGTCAAGCCAAGGGTCTTCCCAAGATCACTCGGTCCGAGATCTGAGGCAAATGAATCTCTTCCCAGCACCACTTATTTACTGTGACCAGTGAACCAGGGAAGCTTTGGGAAAAATGGTACTTTACCTAGGTGTATTTCACCATAACACTCACCCGGACAAGTCACAGCTCATAATAAGATGGACTTACCAACACATCCTAGTATATTACGAACAAACAACCATCTAGTTTAACCCAAATATGGAAGGTAATATGATACTCCCATGAAGTCACAATGGCAATGAACTACAAGTTAATACCCACTCGGACACTCTGTTATTACACCAATTCATCTAACCTATCTCAAAAATCCAATTCCAAAAGTTTGGCTATTTAATAGTTAATTATCATATCTAGTTCGATATTTGATAAGCCATTCTTGCAATGGAAACCTTACTTCCAATTGAGCGCAACCACCGAGTAACTCCTCAAGGTCAGATACATGAATTGATCTCCCTCTTTTATCAGCTACTGAACTCAAGTATAAAGACCTGAAGAAAAAGTCAATACAACAACGAAGCTAATAACAGCATCACTTGACTTGCAATGAGATTCACAGCTTCAACACAAAACAAGTGCAAAAATTCACAGTGCATGATCAACTTTACCTTCCATGTAATAAAGTTAACAAAAAGAACACAGCTTTACGGAAGAGCAATTCGAAAAAAACGTGAGGTGTTCCACAGAGCAGAATAAACCGTATCTACACCATTATTATTGACAAGGATTGGGCGTTCTCTATAGATAGATAGAGATATATTACAAAATACGTATTAACAAGAGAATTCAAGAAAAAGGATTGACCTGAGGTCTTTGCATCGACCTCCAACCTCAGAAAGAAGCTTGCCACTAAAATCGGCGCAATTATGGAGACATAGCTCCTCCAAAGAAGGCCGAAGGAGATGATCAATCGCCGAATCATCGAGCCGAGCACAATCGACTCTGAGGCTTCGAAGGTAAGGGTTCGGAGGCAATAAGGGTTTCAACAAGTCAATCGTTGGTGAAATGTCCTGAAAACGAAAATCTAATAAAAACCAAAAAATACTGGACACCATCAATAATATCAAACAATGGATAGCATATGTGCTTACGAGGAGGTGAAAATTGGGGAGAAAAGAGAGGATTTGAGAACCGCAGAGATTGAAGGCCTTGCAAGTGGCTGCGAGAGAGCAGATCGAAGGGACATCGAGATTTGTCATGATGGTGGCCACGAGTGCCGTCGGCAGAATATCCAGGCTCTGTAAATTCGTCTCGGAGGAGTTGCCCATTGGTCGCCTCTCTCTCTCTCTCTGCTCACCGATAGGGATATACATATCGGAATAGACGGATACCGAGGTTTGCTTGTACACCACCGTTTTTTTTAGTTTTTAGTATTAGGTTTCCTATTAAATTACTGGCTAAAAATTTTATTATAATTAAAAGGGCAATAATTTGTACTATGAAAAATTTTAATATATTCACTTTGATTCTTCAAAAGATTAATTTTTTTATATTATAATTTTACTGTATCAAAAATATTATAATGTGACAATTTAGTATAATTATTCGTAAGTTTTTTTGTCATTGTTAATGTGTTAATTTTTGACATAAAAAATAACGGAAGTTAACAAATGTCTTATTGTAATATTTTTTGTACATTAAGAGTACAATATAATAAATTTAATTATAAGGAAAAACAAAGTAAAATAGTAAAAAAAATTAGGGTAAAAAAGTGTGAAAAAGCCCTAATTGAGAAGATAAAATAGAAATATTTTATTGTCATTAGTGTAAAAATAAACATATATAGATAAAAAAATTTTGAAGTTAAAAATTTAGAATGGAAGTTGT